ATATATACTTTATATTGCCGCCTCTTAAATAACCTAAGTTTTGGTAGGGGCGTTGAACCACTACCATTTCACTTTTTTCCCAACTATATGTTAGGTTAGCATTCTTGTTCTCGTTCTTGTTCTTGTTTTTTTTCTTCCAATATTTATCATTATTATCACCCCCGTCCTTACCCCCGACCAGGCCACCGTGCTGTACCGTAAGCTGGAGAAAGAGCTGGGCAACGTCAGTTTCTACGACCACCCGGACTTCAACAAGAACCCCTCGGCCTACAAACTCTATAGCAAAGGCATGACCACGGACCACGCCCACTCCATGCGGGCTGACGACACGTTTATCGACATGCTCCCGACCCTCGCCACGTCCTTTGAGCAGTCCAACAAGAAAAAGGTTGGGCTTTTGACACTTTTGAGGAAAATTACAGTTTACGTGATTTTTTCCAGTTCTGTGTTGGTGAAAGCTACCACATTGAAGACCTTTTTCAGCTTTGTGTTAGTGAAAGCTATCATTTTGATGGCCTTTTTCACTTCTGTCGCTGGTGAAAGCTAATCTTTTGATGTCCCTTTTTCAGTTTTTTGTTGGTGAAAGCTATCATTTTGATGCCATTGTTTAATCCCGTCGTTAGTTAGTAGGTGTTTTTCGGTTTGTCAAAAATGTCGCTAAAATTCTAACTAACTACCTTTTACACACATCTGTCTCATTCTCTTACCCACTCACTTGATTTATTCATATATCATCCACACTTCAATTCATCTATCCATCCACCCTTCCTGTCTTTCAACCACCCATTGTTATAACTAGTTTCAGTTGTCAATCCTTACTTCCATTCACCCATCGACCAATTATACGTCCATTCAGTTGTAACGCTTCCACACAATCATTAATTAATTCATTCATTCAAACGTCCATCCAACCAACCGTTTACCCACCCAACCAATGTATCTATCCATCTTAATATCCTTCTATCCAATTTTCCATCCATTCCCTTGAACCATTCAGACAAAAGAGTTGACACTGAGTTGTCAGTCAAGTTCCCAGATCTTAAGGTCAAGATGATCAGAGTCTTTAGTTTTTGTGAAAATTTTACGGCACTTGCAACACAATAAGGCCATATAAATGCCGAAGATTAGAGGTGTTACAAGAGAGTAACAAACACAAAAAGAAGGAGGGAAGATATAGACAATAGATGTTTGATAGGAAAAAAAAAAGCAAATCACACCAGAGCACCCACTAACCACCCACTGATCAGGGTCTGTATTGAAAAGTACACTAACGAACAAGAAGGCCATTGACCTTTACCGAAAATTGTAAATACGTACTTTGATTTTAAGCAGATTACCATTTTTAGATTTTTATTTTATATCAAGTTTTTAACATTTTAAAATCTGATTATTGACCCGAACCTAGCCGTGCAATGAACTGTTGTGAATGCAACCAACAGCTACTTAATACGCTCATATGACCTTCAGTTGCGAGCGCCGCAAACCACTACTAAAAAAAAAAAAAAAAAAACGAACACGTATGCCCAATTCTTTGAACAATCGTATATGTTTAGTTTTAGTAGAGGTTTTACGGCGCTCGCAACTGCGTAAGGTCATATGAGCGCCAATCGTATATGTTCTATGTTGTATATATAGAAAATATACAAGTCCTTGGTCAGAAAGAAAACAAACAGGAACGCTTAGAGTATCTTGTTCTTCCCCAGACTGCCATGATTTACGAGAAAATCGCCGAGAGTTTCAACTTGGGCTCTGCCCGTGACGTGTGTGTGGACGAGAGTATGGTGGCTGACGTGGCTCCGTACTTCATCCAGGCCAGGTTGGTCAAGGCCTCATTGTCTTTGTTTTGTTTTGTTTTGTTTGTCTTTAGTTTAGTTTAGTTAGTTTGTTTGTTTGTTTGTTTTTAGTCTTTTGTTTTTGAAACTTGAATTACTGTCATTGTAGTTGTCGTTGTTGTTGTCGTTGATGATGGGGATAATGGAGGTGGTACTGATGGTCCGGATGATGGTGGTGGGGTTGTAGTGATGGTCGTGGCTGTGATGGGAATTATGGTTGTGGTAGTTGTGGTAGTAGTGTGGTGATGGTAGTGGTGGTGGTGGTAGTGTAGTAAGGTTGGTGGTGGTGATTGTGGTGGTAGTGTGGTAATGATAGTGGTGGTGATGGTTCTGGTGGTAATGTGAAAATAGTGGTAGTGGTGGTTCATCTTCTGCTCTGCTTTACCCCTGCTAGATCACAGGGGTCGTTGACCTGTCCGGTGGCAGTGGTGGTTAATCATGGAAACACTACGACTTGGCTCCCATTGTGTGTTACATTCGAAACTCTACTTCCTGATCAATGGCTTGCACTGTTGAGGAAAAAGACAACAAACCAGGTTGACATGCACTCGAACCCTCGAGAATGTAAAGCGAGTGAGGTAACCACGACCAGAAACTATGCCGGGTAGATCTAATAAATCTCTTAGTGGACAAAAGTTGCGAGCGCCGTAAAACCCTCTACTATAAAAAAAAAAAAGTGGACAAAGCTTTGCTGTTTATAACATCACTCAGTCGATAGGATGAAATTTGCAGGTGGAAATATCGATCTTGTGGGATGTTTGCCCTCAGGCTTACCTATTCTCCGGTGTCCGCTTTGTTACAAAATGAATCAACCTTTTAGCCAGAGTATTGATGAACAAACACGCCCTGCTGTTTGCCTCTCTATTCATTCGCTTGCATGTGCTGGTCATTCGTCGTCATTCTCTAAGGCAGAACAAAGTACGACATGGAAAATGCAATGTTTTTGTGAAAAGTAATTGGTGAAACATGAGCAGAATCTGTCGATATATGTGAGGCAGCGTGGTGGAATCAGGCTCTCGTCAAAATAATCAAAGTGAAGAAACTTGCTTTTTCTGTTGGTTTGTGAATTTCTATCAAATTTTTGTTTTTCGGCTCAACTCCTTTCATGCCCATTAAAGAACTCGTTTCTGTGTGGGTTTTACTGAAAAACGTTGATTAAAGGCACAACAAATAAATTTTCAGTTACCACGGAGTCTTAAGCTAAGGAAATAACTAATCTTTGGCTGCCATTTTCTCACTAATCTTACCCCTGAAAACAGGTGACTCGCGCCTCCTTCATTCGCAAATATCTCGACTTGTATTCAAGATAAATGAATATTTTTTTCAACCAAGTAAATACAAGTGAACAAACTTTACGATGAGACCAATAACTCTACATGCCCAAAAATTGACGAGAGCCTGATTCCATCACGCTGCCTCACATATTTCACCCAGCCTAGAGTTTGGGTGTTGATTTTTCAAATGTAAAGGAACAGCTTCGATGTTGTTGTTTTTCTCGAACCGAAAAATAAAATAATAAAAATACCAATTAAATTACATCTACAAAAAATTCCGCAGGCGAGAGGAATCACACAAAAATTGTGATTTACGCATGCGCCGAACTCTGAAGAAATCCTTGCAGTAGTGGTCCCAAAATATATACTCTCAACACACACACACACACACACACACACACACACACACACACACACACACACA